TTTTGAAAAAACTCTATAGTTTCTAGCATTTACAAACTAGTACACCATTTGACCTCTGAGGCACAATCATGTACCCAAACAGCCACAATACTGCTATACTGTATATAGTTACCAAATAATGTTAACTGATCCGGGATTGGGGAGAAGATATTGAAACTCCATCCAACTTAAGATGTGGAAGATAATCACTTTAAACAGTATTGTTTAAAAATATCATATTAGGAATAATATAAATCTTAACTTTCATTGTCTGGGCATTTATACCTCTTAAGTGTTGCTGCCATCCGTTGTCATCCCATCCCCCCCCCAAAAAAAAATTACTGAAGAAAACAATTTTCTCAAAGGAGAAAATATGTCCTCCACCTCTTCTTAATATTTCTACATAGAAAAGCATCTCCATATACTACTAAAACTCTCATAGTGTTTATCTGTTTGTACCCTCAAGTTAGCCCTAATAGTGCATTATACCACAACAATTTTTCAATCAAGGTACCTAACTAAACCCACTAACTTAAAAGAATCCATAAAAAATCTGGGACCCATTATTCCTGAGGAATTGAAATTTCTATGATGTTCAGACTACTTTTATTCACAAAGTTGTGTCTGTTACAGTGTCCCCACAGTCATGTGATTGTGATTTCCTACTCTCCCTGCCAGCTTCCCACAAGCAAAGTCAATGGGAAAGCCAGAAGGAAGTTGGAACTTGCTCCTGCTCCCTCTGCCTTTTTGACCGCCCATGGTCATTCTGTTTACCTGTTTAGGTAAGTGACTTATTATTGAAGTTTGTTTGCCACTATAATTATTTTTCTATTTATGATAATATACTCTTCTTAGATGATCATGGGACTGTCCAACATTGGGGTAAAAAAAATATGATCAGCCTAAAATTTAATGTTCACTCTGGTCACATGAGACTGCACTACCTTTTTCTCAAAGTATGACCCAGTGGGTCACAGGGTTGTCTAGTTGAAACTAACAATAGCTAACATTTATTTGTTATATTTATATTCTACTTTTCATTCATGAGTTTAAGGTGGCATACATAAGGTTCCCTCCTCTGATTTGTTCCCCACAACAATCATGTGAAGTAGGAGTGTAAGGGAGTGTAACACCCACTGAACTATGGCTGAGAATGGTACTGAACTTGAGCCTCCCAAGTGCCAGTTGAACATGATAGCCACTATACCAATTGGCAGAAAACATTAATATTATTAAAGTAGAACATGCAAAATAATATAAAAAAATAATAAATAACTAATATTTGGCTGACAGTAGAATCCAAAGAAGTGGGACAAATCTCAGGGAAAATTTGACAATATTACAGATTTTCTCTAACTCTAATGACAGGATGGATAGAAGAAACAAGTACAGCAAAGTATATATGACCCTAGTTAAGAAAACAGGGTTGTTCAACATTAGAGTTGGGCAGCCAATACATTTAAATACATAAATAAATAAAATTTACCTTTACAGAAAACATGAAATGTAAAGTCAGCATAATAATTGCTTGAGCCTTGCTAGTTTGAAATAAGTATCAGAAGTTGTTCTCAACACAATGATGCAAATTAGCCCAGAAATCTAGCTACTTCACTATCCTTGTTATTATTACATTTTCTCTTTGTTTTTGCCTCCCTGGTTCATCTTAGGATTGCCCTACCTTTTGTCAAGTACCTTTTGAGTACTAAATATCAATATTTATTTAGAGTAAAAATTAGAAACTACTTTTCCTCAAAGTAGGACACAAATACTTAAAAAAAAAGATAATTTTTAAAAAGCAGCACAGAAATAAGAGCAAATTTAGTACACAGATTCTGATTGGTGACCCGAGTCAAATACAGTATTTGACTACTCCACTGTGGTTAGTCTTATAAAAAGGCATTTGGAAGATAGTTACAACAAAATGGCACATGGCTATAAACTTGATAGCATTTTTCTCCTTCATCACAGTTTATCACTACTACTTAGTCACACGTTTAGAAGATTTTCAAGTTTTCCCTTACTTGCCAGGCCATATATTGCTACATATTAGTCTATGAGTA